CCGGGCCTCCTCCCACCGCAGGCCCAGCCCAGCCCATCGCCCCGCACCCAGAGCCGCAGGGGCAAGGGGACCCTGGCCCCTCCCGGGCGCCCTGGGCGAGCACCCTCCGCCCCCGCTCAGCTTCCCTGTTTGCAGTCGGTGGGGACCCGCTCACGGCCAGCCCTCAGGCCCCTCAGGCCGGGCGAGCCCCGGGTCCGGGATCTGGGTTTCAGACGGAGGCCTCCCCCAGCCCCCAGCTCTTGGGAAGTCAGGTCCCTCTGCCTCCCGGGGTCATGCCCTCGCGTCCTAATGGGCAGCGGACACAGGCCTGCGGGTGTGGAGGCGGCCCCTGAGTCGGTCCGGATCGGAGGAGGCGGGAGGTACCGGTCTCCCCCTTCCTTCCAGGTTTACTGAGCACCTGTCTGTGCCAGGGGCCGGCCCGGGTCCCTTCCCAGCTGGGCACGGTTTTCCCTAGAACGTGTGGCCTGGGGAGGGAGTGAACTTTGCTCCGCGCCCAGCCCCGTGCCAGGTGCTCAGGGTCCAGATCCGCTCCCCTCCCTCCCTCCCCCTTCCTTCCAGGTTTACTGAGCACCTGTCTGTGCCAGGGGCCGGCCCGGGTCCCTTCCCAGCTGGGCACGGTTTTCCCTAGAACGTGTGGTTCCTCCTGGGGAGGCTGCGGGCCACGGGGTCGGGGCCGGCTCTGAGCCTCGGCCGCGGTGGGATTGGCACAGGAGCAGGCGCTGACGAGGCGGGAGGGCGCTCGTGCCGTGGGTCTGGTGTGCACCCTCGAAGCTGGTTTCTCCAAAGCAGCTGGAAATGCAGAGGGAGCCATGCTGGCTACATGGGCCCGGCTCCATCCTGGACACGTTGATTTTATCTTGAAAATGGCCGGCAGCCCGGGGCTCGGGTCACGCGATTGGATTTCTGCACTAGAAGGGCAGCTCTGGAGGTGGCAGTGTGCCCGATGCCGACGGCACAGGGCAGGGCGGGAGGGTCCTCGGGAGCCGTGGGCCTGCAGGCCTGGCTGTGCTCGGTCCCTTGTCCAAGGGATGGCCTGTGTGCACGTCGGCTTCGGTGGACGGGCCTGCCAGACCCCGACTCACCAGGCACCACGGCCACCCGGGCTCCTGGCCATTCACTGGGTCATCACTGGGACACTCACCCCGGGGCCTCTGCCCACGGGTTGTCCCACGTGTGGGCTTTCCCGGAGCTCTGTGGCTGGCCTGGCGGGACCGGGCCTGACCACTGGGTTCCCAGGGATCCAAGCTCTGCCACCAGCGTAGGCCACAGTCCATGTGATGCGCGTCACTGTGTCCTGTGTGCATGGCACTTGTGATGTATGTGCCACGTTGGTATGTGTCACATGTGTGCCGCTTAGGACACTCGTGGTCGGGGCATGTGTGCTCCTGACCTGCTGGGCCCTGGGGGAGCCGCCGCGTGGGGCTCCGGAATGCACAGTGCGACCGACAGCGGGGAGCCGGCCCGGAGCTGCTTCCTGGGGCGACAGCGACCGGAAAGGTGGGCTCCCTAATGGAGCCGCTCCCCGCCTCTCACCACAGCTGCCGCCATGCTGCCGCTGCCCTCGGAGCAGGCCCTGAGCGAGCTGCTGGCGCGCAAGGAGGACGAGTGGCGCGCGCTGCAGGCCCACCGCACCCAGCTGCAGGAGGCCGCCCTTCGGGACGCGCAGCGCCGGCTGGAGGAGGCCGAGGGGAGGCTGGGGCGCCTGCAGGAGGACTTCCTCTACAACCTGCAGCTGCTGGAGGAGCGGGACCGGGAGCTGGAGCGCTACGACGCCGCCTTCGCCCAGGCGCAGAGGCTGCAGGAGGCCGGGCAGGCCGAGGCCAGTGAGCT